AAACTTGTGTTTTTGTTCTGCCTTTGCTTGTGTTTCAAAATAATTTATTAACATAATGAATTCTCAAGTGATGATGATTTCTACTTCATCCTGTGAAAGTAACTGAATTACAAACACAGGACTTGTTTCTACTATGGCTTCTGGAGGATCATTGACTGTTGAGAACATTACAGTCATTGTACAGAGTGTTGTGAGTTCACTCATGCATACTTGGCCTTTTTCTCCCATACCTTTAGCTGATGTCCTTTCTCCTAAGTTTGTGAATGACCAGGAGGACAATGAAATTAACTGAGTGTTCCTCCCACCTAGGTTTGCTTTGCTTACTGCCTTACTGGTTGGGAAAATCCTCAACCTTCCAATCTCTTCCTGTATATGGTTTCTCAGGTATGTTCCTTTGTTTATCTTTAGCCTGTGCTCTCCTTTACCAGAGATTTTTACTCTTGCCTCTTGGTGGTTCTCAAGTAGGCCTGGGACTTGAATTTGGTTATCAACCTATTGTCTCTCAACTGGTTTCTGGTTCCAGTTAAGAAGAATTTCTTTCCCCCTCTACTGTTTTTTTTTTCACCCATCTATGGGTGACCACAGTTGCTGTGTCAGATGCCTTTCTATATATCCTAAATACCCCATCCTTCAAATTTTTTTCTATGTTGCATCGATTGGGATCAAGTCGTCCAATTACATGCCTTTCTCTTTGGTATGGCATCTCCCCATTATGTCTTCAATTGAGTCATGGGGGCCTTTGCTCATCACACTTATGGTATGGGGCTTTTTTTTTTCTGCATAGATGATTGCCTTATAACTGCCCATTCTCAGGAGGTATTTTTCTCTTAACATCTCCCTTTTTCTGCAGGAGACTGCTCGATTGGGTCGATTGTTATGCTTTCCAAGTCATTTCTCAACTTACACAGTAATTAGTACATCTGGGCATTTTTTTCAACTCTCATTTAGGTCAGATTCAGCCTTTACATTTTGACCTGCAAGCTATGAAATGTCTAGACACCATGACTTGCACTTTTTCTTTTTATCCTATGTGTGAGGTTCTTTCGTGTCTAAGGTGTGCACACATGTACCTTCTCCAGTGAACCTTATGAGACCAATGGAATCTTTCTTGGGATACATTGTCGTCAATTGTGAACCTCCCTTCTCTTTCCAAGGTGGCTAGACAATGTCGATACCAACATTGGTATTCTATTACCACTCCAAGTACTGGATCTCCATCTCTTCACAGTTGCTTCCTTTTTGGTTTGGGGTGCATCTCAAAATGACACTATGTCTTCGGGCATTTGGGCATGAGAAGAAAGTTCACTTCACCTAAATTTACTCAAGCTCTTTGCTGTTTGTTGAGTGTGTTCCCATTTCTTACCTCTTCTGGTGGATCAGTTGGTCATGATCAACTCTGACAGTTCCACAGTTGTTTCTTATACCACCCATTGAGGGGGGCATTGCTTCAGGACTCTTTGCTTTTAGGTGTTCGATCTCCACTTCTGGGCTCTTTCTCTTCAAGTTTGTCTTATCACTTATCATGTTTGAACATGATGGTAGATTGCCTGTCAGATCATGCTCTGTTCATGGTGTGGTCTTTCCATCCCCAGGTTTTTAATTGGTTTTGCACGTGACTGGACACATCTCTCATGTGTGCCTTTGCCTCTCCTCTTAACTCCAAGCTTCCTTTCTTCTGATTTCCTGTTCTTCATCATTTGGCTCTGGCTGTCTGACTGGTCTTACCTTTTACTGTATACCTATCCTCCTTTTTGACTCCTCCCTCCAATCTTTGCCTTGATACACAACAGTCCTTGTTGGGTCCTATTGGTGGTACTTCTTTGGCTAGCTCAGCCTTGGTTTCTTCTCCTCTCTATTGCTTCAACCTCACATGTTCTTTTTTTCTATTCAGGATTATCATCCCTTCATTTCCATGTGTGGGATATGCCTAGTTCACAGCCCTTCCAGTCAGACTTTCTGATTGTATAGCCTTCTTCTTATCCCATACCTGTCATCCTTCCACTTTGTGTATCGATGTAAGTGGGTTTTTTTCGTTGTTGGTCCATCCACTGCTCCCATCTTTGTCTTTTCACTTTATTGTTTGATTATGATTTGTCAGTCTTCGCCATCTGGTTATCAGGTAGTCTTATCCAATACATTATGCCTTTCCAGTTACCACAGGGTATTTTATTCCCAATGTCCTCTCCACTCTGTTTTGATCTTTCCTTCTTCACTGACCCCCTCACCTGACTCCTATGCTTAACTGGAACTTTCATGGTGTGTTATGCACTCTTATCTGTTGCCTTTTACCCTTAACAGGTGGGCCCATCAGCTTCTCTTATTGGGGTATTCTTTTCTGGATATAGATGCTTGCAGGCTCTTTCACTTTTCATTTCATCTGCTTCACCTCTTGTCTCACTCCCTTGCTTCTCATTTTCACAGGCTCTTGGACAAGATCTTCTAGGTGGGCATGTGGCCAACTCACCACATGTTTGTCACACATTATCTTCATCATCAGGATGTTTTTTTTATCTTCCACAGGATTTCAACTCCATCTAATTGCTATTCTTAAGTAGATCAAAGACACTTAAGTCTTTGAGATGGGTAAGTTTGTTTCTTCTTCTTTCCCTTTCTATCTAACAAGATCTCAACAAGTGGCTTGTGTTGCCTCCCAGGTTATGCTTTTTTCTCAAATTCTGGAAAGGCCTCAACCCATCTGCCCTGGCCCTACTAGTGCCAATTGTTGAGATGGGGTGTTCCACAGACCATTATAGGTATCCTTGTGATATACAGGATTACTCAATTGCCTGATCCAGACTGTACCATTTCATGGACTATCATGAAAAAAGCTGGCACTAGGGAAGTAACAGCTTACTTCTTTGTCTTGTGCTTGCCAACTTTTAAATGTAAGCTTTTGTGGTCAGTCATTGCACTGTCTTCAGTAAAACACTTTCTGACAGGCACTTCTCCAGGTCTCTCCAATGGGAATTTTTCCCTCCTTTTTTCAAGTGGAGCACAGGAGACCCTTGCCACTTACCAGTTCTTAGTCACTGGGAGTGGGTGGACCTTGGAGATTTCCTTGCTGATTAGGCTCAGCATAATAGGGTGAGAAGTAGGATGGTGGTGACAATTTGATGGTATCCTAGCTACACTACACCTATTGACTTATTAACTGCTTATGTGCATGTACTTGAATGGTCATATTCTTGTTCCACTAATCCCTGAAACACTTGACACTTACTTGCCCCCCTTTACATTCCAGACGAGGAGTATATCCTGGTGGAGATGAGATGTAGTCTCCCACAGGTGCATCCTTATGGAACCCCTTCCATTGGATGTCACACTCCATGGGCTTTTTCTTTGGGCACTCTCTGAAGGGATCTCATCTAGGTTTAAACTTGCACCAACACCCTACACTAATTCAGTGTGGGATTCTAGATAATCTGTGTGTAGAGCTGAGCTATAGTCTTGGGAAGTTAACATTTCCTAACCTGAAAAGGTATTACCTCCTCACTTCCAGTGCACTTTCTTCTTTACTTGTCTAAGAATGAAGTTATTTCGAGTGCGAGTGCTTAATGGGAGTTACTGTGCAAAGAGATTGCATTGCTTTCTTATTGGTCAAGGGCTATTGTTGCATGATGCACCAGCTCAGTTCATGTTAAACGTGAATTTTAGATGGGAGTTAGCCCAAGACTAGTGGCTAGTGTGACTCCTGTGTTCTTAAACAGTTTGGTGTATAAGTAGTTTAGAAAAATATTTTAAAAAGTTGATGTAATAATTCTAGGGTTAACAAGTATTTACAGTTACTTTTTTCCCCATATGTTTAAATTTTCATGTTAATAACAGTACTTCATTCTATTTTATGTTAATTTTTTCATCTTTTTGGTTTTTGTAGATAAGATTATTTTAAACTTATAAATTCTTGAGCATGGCATAACTTACATTTATGCCCGTGGAAATGTTTAACATTGCTTGAAATGACTTGCACATCCACAGTTTAGAATCAACTCAAGAACCCCAAAACGTTTGTATTCTTTCATAAGCTCATGTTAATAACATTGTATGGTTTGAATCAAATTTTGCATTGCTTTTAATCCGTAACATGGTACACCACCTGTACCTTAAGTTACTGTAAAAGCATTCAAACAACAGTTGTTTAAAATTTTTCCATTTGCCAGTAATTTATACAATGTTTGGAATTGAACATCATAATTGTTTTAAAGGTATCTATTTTTAAGTAAAACTTGTCACTTTCACACAATTAAAAAATAGTAATTAAAAAAAAATTAAATTATAGTTTAATGGTTGATGAACTGGCCCAGTGGAAGGCTCACCTTTCTCGACATTTTGAAGAAACCAAAGATGCTATACATCTTCTTTTAGCTGAAAGACAACAGGCTAGACAGGATATGATGCAGACATATCGGTAAAGTAAACGTAAAAATACTATAAATATTTTTAGGTCTTGGAGTTGATGTAATAAACAGATTTGTGATCAAAAAGTATTTTTTAAAGAAGAGCATGTTGATAGAATACTTTAATGATCAGTCAAGTGTAACGAGTGTAAAATAATATTTATCAGCATTTAATGTGCTTAAATATTTGTCTCTAATTCTTTGAATAAGCTTTTGCAGAATGTACATTAATCTCATCTCTGAAAGATTCCATATTTAAATTAGCACAAAACCAACAAATTTAAAACAGGCTTTTAATACATTTTATTACATGTATTAACAAGTTGTAATTTATCCAGTAAAATCTAGTATCCAAAATGGCATTTTTTGAAACATATGCCATTCTACTTTTTGAAATAGTGCAGTTTAACATTTGTTTTTAAAGGATAGGTAAAGGTTTTTGAAGAAAACGAAGAGATAAAAACTCAACTTTTCAAACTATAGAAACATGAATGATCATAATGTATAATTTTTATTTTCACATTATGCCTACCTGTAACTTCAACTATTATTCTACAGTTTTCCTTTGTCACCAAGCTATGAGGTAAAATGTACAATTATACTCACAGTTTTGTGCATTTTTCAGTTTTATAGGAGGTCTGGTGGTTTGGGCTCTTGACGTACAATATGTGGGAAATGGAGTCAAAACCTGGTGCCAAAAATTGTCACACTTTCATGCTGATTTAATTGTATGAAAGTTAGTTGAACATAGATAAAAACAATTGTATGAAGTGTTTCAACAAGAAAAATTTCAAAACATTAAGTTGCCAAATTAAACATAACAACCTGAAATTTTGAACTTTTTTTCCTATATATATACATGTTTGTTTGTTTTTTAATTGGAAAGGATTATATTAGGATCCTGTTAAACCTCAAAGTCATGAGAACTTTTTTGGTATAATACTCTATTTGGTAGATCTATGGTTTGGACTCTTTTGTACTTAAGATTTGGTATTTTAGACACCATTTATTTAAGTTAACTTATTTATTTAAGTTATCTTTTTTTGATGAGTGTTGTTTACAAAAACCTTGTAGATTATAAAGAAAAACATTCTTGGAATCATCATACACATGAACACTCCTTTCTGCAGATCCTTTTTATTAATAGTATATCACAGGAGTTAATTAGGGAAACTGTTCTTGTATTTTATTTTATGAGGAACACAGAGGTGGTTTACTGGACTGTTGATGCAATCGTATCAATTTTTCTTTGGTTCAAAATATTGGGTTGGTAAAATAGATGCTTTTCTATGTCGTTTTCCATGTTTGGTTTCTTTAATCACCTCATTTCAAGAGTTGTTATTTTCCTTTTTATGTTGAATTTTAGTTTAGTAGTCTATGTAAATTGTTATTCGGGTGACACCTCTGATACAATGATATAAGCAGATATGTACTATTATAGATAGAGATGTGCATCACAAATTAAGTATTTTTTTTTCCAATTATTCCACATTTAACACAATTCTGAGTATATCCAGATATAGTGACTCTCCCAACAGTTGGGTCAGCATTAAGTTGCTGGACTTCCAATGCTAAAATCAGGGGTTCAATAGTCGTCAGTGGGATTGAGTGCAGATAGCCCATTGTCAAGCTTTGTGTGAAACAAACTTAATATAGCCATAGATAACTCATAATTTCTAATCCCTAAACACTACCAAAGATGAATCAACACTAGTGTTAGTTCTTACTTTTGAGACAGTTTTTCATAGTTAACCCTGATGTTATGCTTGATATTTCAGATAAATTATTTTTGGTAATTTCTTGCCATTATCAGCTTTTACTTCTTGATATGGTCACGTACAGTATTTATTCAAAAATCTGATTCTATTTGATTATTTTTAGATAAAACAGATATTTAAAGCATGAAATTTATTCTCTGTGTAGTACAGCATCCAAAAAAGCTAATATTTGGTGTCCTTCCTATGCTTCGAAAAAAGCATGTCGGGCATTGATTCAATTAATTTATTAAGAATATCTTGATTCAAATTGTTCCAATACTCAGTTATAATATTTCAAAGCATGTTGTAGTTTTTGCAGTGTTTTGATTTTATTTAAAACACAAAACAAGTAAGTTTTGACCTACTTAGGTCATCATTAGGTTAAGAATGACTTTGAGAAAGTGACTTTTATTGATTATGTGTTTGTGGGGACGACTATAATAATAGCTATACGGTTGTAGGGAGAATTATGTATATTTGATTGTATTAATATATTGGTAGTCAACAGTGTGATATTATGCACGAACATGTTTAACGAAATAATTAATATAGGTATAAATGTATTCCTTGATACTGGTTTAAAGTGGGTTTGAGTCATTGTATTAGAAGTGCTTCTTTAATTTTTTGATTACTTACTCTCTGTTTAATATGTTAGTTTTGTTTTCTAAGTTTAGCATTATTTATAAAATACAATGAAACAACTGTTACGAATTCTGTAGCAGAGAAACAAGCCCAAAAATAGAAACTAGGTTCAGAGAACAACAACAGCAAAAAAAAAAACCTCTTATTTAAATGAATTGTATTCTATTATGTTTAAATTAGTTGTATTAGTTTTCTTCTGTAGGTGTAAAAGGACCATTTATCTTTATTAATTCCCTTAGTGTCCAGATTGTTTTAAAAGTGAATCTGCTTTAATTTTGTATGCTTGATAAACAAATTTTTGATGTGAATCTTTTATCATTTATACTATATTTATTATTAATGCACATAAGGATGTCATATTGTTCCTTGGTTTCATTACTGTTTGATTTAAGCCTTTTCAACTTTAACTTAATTTTATGATTTGATTATTGAAATATTGACTGAGTTAATATTAGTCTTTTTTTTATTAATCTCTATTAACTTTAATGCTTCAAAAAATTTGAATTTTTCTCTTTAAGATTTCTAGGATTAAGACGAGAATTAGCTTGATTTATGTAGGAAACAAACATAATTTAGTATAATGTATTTATTTTAGTGTATTTTGTAAATAGTATTATTCATACAAATTAAATTTTCTTGAATTGTTGAATGTATAATAAAATTGCATTTTTTATCATTCCAATAGTTGTACCTCATATGTATATATGGAGAAAGGCATTCTTGTCAGAACATTGTAAAAATAAAAATTATTTAATTTGCAAAAATACTTCATAATAAATCTTTAATTGAAAATTTTAATTTGTTTGTTTTGATAAAAATAAATGTACATTGTATAAGTATAGTTTAATAGTCCCGGAAGGGCAACATAATATTTATTTAGCTAATAGAGTAATAGTTTATCAAGAATTGTTACTGTTATTTCAGTTTCTTTTGAATTTTCCTGGAGTCATTGCTTAAAAGTAGAAAACCTGTACATAGATTCCTGTAAACTAACGTAAGAATAAGTTGTATAAGATATTATTTTGTTTGGGTACTTTTGAATAAGAATACTTTTTCAACAGCACTCTGAGTCTGTTACGGGAAACCTTTGAACCTGTTGCTATTCAGCATCAAAAGGGGAAAGTGCAAAGTGCTACTCTCTTAAAGTTAGCTAGCGGTAATAGAGGCTTGGCTCAGGCTGTCTATTCTCGACTGTTGGGATCATCTACCAATCGAGTAGAAAGGGAAGTTGAATGGGATGCTGTTGAGCTGTATACTGCAGCAGAAGAGTTTGCTCAAAAGGTAAGTGATGTCTGAATACTGATTTTACTCGTCTTTATATATGGTTTGTTAGTTTCTATTTTTATTTTAGATCAGTAGTTTAGAGTGCAGTTTTTTACGTTACTATCTTATGACACTGGCTACCCAAATTTAATGTACAATTTGATGAATATCTTTATGTTTCTGTTTGATTGACTGTAGATGTTAGTAAAAATCAAAATAGTTGAGATCACTAAATTCTTAAGAGGTTAAAGAAACTATAATAGTCAGAACTCTGATTTGATAAAGTATTTATACATTTATCTTTGTTTCTTATAAATGTATATGTATTTTACAGGTCCTGTTTCCCAAAAATTCTACATCTATCCTAGATACTCAGAGCAAAGATGGTAATTTAAGCTTTGATGGAAGAAACGCTCTGTCTCTGCGAATAGGAAGCAAATTATGTCGTGTTCATTCTTGCACTGGTCATGAGCAGTCAGTTGTGAATTGTTGCCGCCATTGTTCTGGAGAAGTCAAACTCTTGTGATTTGTATGAGAGTCATTGGACTAGTGACATCCATTATTGTAAAATTAAAAAAACTACTCATCAACTGTTGTTACACATTTAGGCTAAAAAAAATTAAAGACACCTTTGATACAGAAATCTTATGCACTAAATACACAAATCCAAAATTTTGTAAAGAGAGAGGTGTAATGATCAAAATGTGTAACCATAGTTTAAAAGAGAATCATGATGCATGTATATATATGTGTGTGTGTCTGTGTATTTGAACAACCATAAACACTCAAATATACATACAAACAAGTATGTGTGCATTTGTGTGTGTGTGTGTGTGTGTGTG